AAGCAAAGAGACAGGTAAGGTGGTGCATGCCATAATTGTACCATTCCTAAGGGAGAGGCAAGAGGATCTCGAGTAAGTAATAGGTTTCATTATGACATTTTAAAACATATGTTTTAATTATTTTTGTTGCTGCAACCAAATGTCTGACAAAGGTTTATGCCAAGGAGAATGGGCTTATTCTGACTCAGAATTCGTAGAAATATTGTCCATTATAGAAGGAAAACATGGTGATGTGTGCAAGCATAATGCAAACTGGTCACAGTGTGTTCCTGTCAGGAGGCTGTGAGAGGTGAAAGCTGGTGTTCAGCTGGTTTTCTTTCTTCCATTCGGAACCACAGCAGGATGGAATCACCCGCATTCAGGGTCCCTCATTCCTTCTTCTGTATCTCCTCCGTGATTTCAAATCCAGGCAAGGTGACAAAGATTATGCTTTAGTCACTGCACATTGTTCTCATCTAGCCCCTCATCCACTGTTAGGGGATTTGGATTTTTAAAGAATCTAAGTCCAGAGTGAAATTGTACCCCCCCCTTTTCATACTTCTTGAACTTGCCTGCATATAGAGGGGGGAGTTTTGCTCCGTTTCATCCAGTGTGTCTGTGGTGAGTGCCAGGCAGTTTGCACATCTGAGAAGTTCCCAGCTGCTGCTGTTGCTGCTGGCCTGACCTTTGGAATCACCAGCCTAAGTCAACTGAGCTGAGCGATACTCTGGCCAACCGGGAAAATGCAGAGAATTTCATCCTTGATTAGGCCCTTCTTGCTTTACTTACTCAGGTGCCTACAGTTTTGTTTTGTTTTTCCCAGTAAAGATGCTGTGATTTGATAAATTTCACTTGTGGAACCAGCTGAGCCGGATATTTCCCATCAGATATTCGCTTAGGTAAATATTGTTGCACACTAAGTAAAAATCGAAGATATCATGGGCATGTTGGCTCACTTGCGTGGTGACTCTCCAGAACCTGGTCTCATGGCTTTCTATCAGTGACTCATATTTAGACCAAAGGTACTATAAGCAAACTCATCACAGAACTGAGTGGGCTTCGTTACTGTTGCTAACCCCCCACCCACACACACCTGAAAACTGTTTGCAAGATATCAGAATTGAGTATGAAACCATTGGATAGTTTTTCAAGTACCACAGTATTAATGGAATTCAATCTCAAAATGGATTACCTGACAATAGCTACTAATATTAAGTTAGTATACTGTAGTTATTGGAAAAGTGCAATTATCAGAAACATTTTACTAGTGGTCAGCGGGCCAGCACTGGTGTCACTGGAGGATTCCCTAACTTTTGTGCTCTCTGCCGCTCATCCACAGCTAGTGGCTCACACTGTGCGTTTGTAATGAGAAGGCATTAAGGAGGTGGAAGCATTAAGGCAGAAAATGCTGCGCTGGTATATTGATTATTTCAAGTTGAAATCACTTAAGGAGCTGTGCCTTCATAAAGGGCCATTTGGCCTTTCCCCCTATATGCAACAAGCCTTTCTCCTATAAGTAACAAGTCATAGGGGGGCTTTGGAGGATAGCTTGGAATGTAGGAGGGAGTATGCCTACTATGTTTGGGGCCCTGGATTATATCCCCGGCACCACAGAAACAAAATGATGAGAAGAGTTTTGGTAGGGGAAGGATATTTTATGCATATCAAGACTAGAAAATAGCTTGGAGTCCGGTGATGTGGACTCAGATAAACAAGCTCATTGTGTAAGCTGATTCTTCTCCGAGTGCCTGTATCTTCTGCCCCATATTTCTCTAAGTAGGGCCCCTAGAGCAGGGGTTTTCAACCCTTTAATACAGTTCCTCCTGCTGTGGTGACACCCAACTACAAAATTATTTTGTTGCTACTTCGTAACTATAACTTTGCTACTGTTGCGAATCAGAATGTAAATATCTGATATATAGGATATCTGACATGTGACTCACCCCCAAAGGGGTCAAGACTCACAGGTTGAGAGCCAGTGCTCTAGATCCATTGTCCACTCACTTTACAAAGTTATTGCTTTTAGGCTGAGCATGGTGGCTCATGCCTTTCATTCCAGCACTGCAGCACATCTCTGTGAGCTCAAGGCCAACCAGACCTTGTCTCAAAAAAAAAAGTTATTGCTCTAGTTTAAGAAATACAAAAATATCATTCTTTGGGAATTTCTTCAAAATTTATTTTCATGTGAAGACCCCCAGGCATATGTGAAATTAACAGAACTTTTATGCTTTTCTCTTGTCAACAAACCAACTTTTGTATTGATTGGGATTCTAAGTCTAGCCAAAGACCCTACATAAGAACTAAGGGGGTAAAAGAGCTTTCTTTCTCTCACAGTAGAGGACTTTGATCTTTAAACTAGAATTGTTTCTGACAATATGTGCTCCAGTGAAGGACTGGAGAGATGGCTCCATAAAAGCACAGGCTACTCTTCCAGAGTACCTGGGTTCAATTACTAGCACCTGTATGGTGGCTCCTAGCCATTTATAACTCCAGCTTCAGGGGGCCCAGTGCCCCTTCTGGTCTCAATGGAACTGTATACATGTAGTGAACAGATAAACATGTAGGCAGGCAAAACATCCATACACATAAAATAAATAAAAATAAAACGGAGGACACTAGGGGCTGAAAAGAGATGAATTGGTAGTTAAGAGAGCTTGCTATGCAATTATGAGAAGCAGAGCTCAGATGCCAGAACTCATGTAAGAAACTTGGTGTCTGGGGGCTGGAGAGATGGCTCAGAGGTTAAGAACACTGGCTACTCTTCCAGAGGTCCCGAGTTCAATTCCCAGCAACCACATGGTGGCTCACAACCATCTATAATGAGATCTGGTGCCCTCTTCTAGCCTTCAGGCATACATGGAGGCAGAGTGTTGTATATATAATAAATAAATAAGTAATCTTAAAAAAAAAACAAGAAAAGAAACTGGGTGTCTGATGCATGACTGGACCCCAGCCCAGAGGAGAACAAAAGCAGAATAGTGCTGGGGTTTGCAGGCTACCAGCCTAGTCAAGAAAATGCAAATCCCAAGTTCAGGGAGAGACCTTGTCTTAAAGGTAAAGGCAGAGAGTGCTGGAGGCATGCACCCCAGGCCTTCCAGCCTCTGTATGCATGAACAAGTTTGTGCAGCACTCCCCCTGTGTGCACACACTCACACAGATACCCTGTCCACATTAATCAGTCTCTAAAAAAAGTATTGAGGACCCTGAATAACCTTTGTTTATGAGGGTCCATCATCTTTTCCTACCTACCTATCAATCTGAGGTATTTAATACCTATGAACACATAAACATTCTACTAGGTGTCCATATATCACACTACTGCCTCTGAAAAATTACAATACATATTAGTTCTTTAAAAAAGTGATAAGGGAGCTGGATGTGGTGGTACATGCCTGTAAATCCCAGCACTTTGGAGGCCACCATGAGACCCTGTCTCAAAAAATTAAAAACAAAAATATTGTCAATAGTAGATAATGTCACAGCATCTATAGGAAACATTTTGACTTTATGGACTACAGTTTGAGAAAGCCTGTTTTATATTATTAGAATGGATGAATGTGGACTGTTGTTCTTTGGGGGATTACAAGCGTGTGATACCACACCTAGCTTATTTTCACCTAAGCTATTGGGAGGAGTAAAATATGATCCTATGAGAAAGCGGTTCTGTTGCTGGACAGTTGGTGTTTGGTATTTGACAGGGAGACATTAACAGAGCCTTTCTCTTTTGTGGCTCTGGCCTGCTCACTCTTGCTGGCCCATAACTGACCCTAAAAGAAGGCTATAGTGTATGTTCTCCTCCTTGGGTTCCAGGTGACGGTGGAAATGGCTCTGGAAAAGAAAGAAGGGTCAGAAGATGGGACAATGAAGACACGAAGGATGGTTTGGCCCCTAGAAATTAAAGCTGGATTTCCTGGTGGAGACCTGCAGCTTCTGCCTGCCATGGAAACAGGAGTGGCTATGTGGGAATCTGTGGCAGACAGACACAATGCACCGCTTACAGATGCTCCAGTTAGGAGAGAAGGGAGGTCCGTCTGAGGAAGGAAATGACAATCAGTGTAGTTTGCTGTTCAGGGTGTTATCTGCCACTGTCCTTACCTGGAACTTCCCACGAAGAAGGCCTTGAGTTGCCACCAAAAAGAATAAAATGGACTTCTTCAAGATCTTAGGAACCAGTGAGCTTGTATTTAGAAACTACAGAGTAATCACAGACGCAAGCCATATATATGAACAGATCGAAAGTCATCCTGCCTGAACTTGATTAGCTCTAACACACTGGCAGAAAGAGGGTTGTTAACAGAACCCAAGGCGCGGGATGCCCGCGGGGACACCTAATAGGAGACATATGAACACTTCAACAACAGTGGCCGGCACATATTACTATAGTATTATATATGTATTATGGCCTGCCCTGTGCGTTCTTACCTGCTGTATATACTGCATCCTCTGTGGGTTGGGATGGCAGAAGACTCGCCCTAAGTCTGTGTTCCCCATAAACGACTAAAGAAGGACAGGGACACAGTATTGCTGAAACGCTTCCCTAGGGAGTGGGTGGCCCAGGTTGCTTGGGAGGGTCAAGAGAACCTGTTGCTACAGCTTGGAGCATCTTTCTGCCCCAGCCACCGCAGCGAGTCGCCACCTGGTAGGACTGTCCCGCCTTCAGGAGGAACAAGAGCCTTCTTTAGGCTTGAGAGCCGGCGTCCCAAGCGTAGTGAAGCGAATTGCTGTGGACGCTCTAGGAGTCCAAAGGGGTCCTTGCGTTTCGCCATATTTTACATTTTTACGGGGCGGGGCAGGCTCTGGCGTTCTTAACACAACCTGGTCGCACGCGGACAAGAGCGACTCTAAAGGCCTTTGCCACCAGCGCGGAGCTGGAGAGCCAGTGGCTTCAGTCCCCAATCCCCCCCACCCCTCCCTTTCGGGGCTCTCAGCCTGTCAGGTCCCTCCCCGAGTGGGCGTGGCAGTCATGCTCAGGGACTCCCGGGGGCGGGGTCGGGGCGGGTCTGTAGCGGCGGTGGCGGGGGGGGGCAGCCCGGCTGCGGAGGCCCGCGGGGAGGCGCCGCATCCGGAGGCAGACCCGCACCGCATAAAGCGGCAGACGCACAGTGTGCCCCGCAGCCGCTCGGGCCGGTCGCCACTGCCGAGAAGCTGCTCCGATGCTCCAGAGCGGCCATGGGCGTCCCGCACTGGTGGGACCAGCTGCGGGCTGGCAGCTCGGAGGTGGATTGGTGCGAGGACAACTACACCATCGTGCCTGCCATCGCTGAGTTCTACAACACGGTGCGGGACGCGGGAGCGGGAGGGCAGACGGGCGGAGGGAGAGAGCTGTCTCCGTGGCTGCGGCGCCTGGAAGCAGGCAGCGGGTGACCGTGGATGTCCGAGGCAGGAGTCGCTCCACGCCCCCTTCTCTGGGCGCTGCTTCCAGCGCTATTTCTGCACCCCTCTCCGGTCCCTATCCAGGACATCTGGGTTCCTCCAGCTCTTCCTGTCATTTTTCTTCTGATGGCTCTATTGTCTTGTTTGGCTCCCGTAGTCCGGGAGCCGGGGGTCCGCGTCAACCCTTTCTTTCAGTTTAGGTCATTTGGGGATGTGAACCCACAGGGACAGCTCCCTTGCTCCCTGCCTAGGATCTTTGTGGCGTAAGGCACCTGAATCTCATTGTGCGTTTTTGCCCTGAGTACCTACCTGCTTTGGCACATTGGGAGAGTGGAGCCCTGGGCACATCCAGGGGCTGGGCCCACTCCCACAAGTCGGCGTGCCCTTTCCACTAAACTATGACGATGTTGATCGAATTATTTCTGCCCGGAATCAAGTTAATTACTTTGAGTTCTTTTTCTTGTTGCTTTCAGAGTCCAGTTTTGAGCCAATTCCGGATGGTGGCAGTGAAATTTGGGAGTGATACCGGGTGGGTTTTCTGGATTTGCGTAGGTCCCTGGATATTGACAAGCGGAAATTTACAGAATCCTAGGGTTCTGGTCTTTGTGGGAGGGAAGGGTTGTCCCCAGGAGAGGAAATATCCCTGCTTTTTCCCTGTGCCAGTCGCTCAGGACTCTGGTACCCAATGTGACTTTGCATGGTCATTTTTCTGGCTTATCTTTTTTTTGCTGTTCAGACACAGAAAACAGGAACTCCTGGTTTGAGTCATTGTGAGTTTGAGATTGTTATTTAGGATTTTTTCCCTCTCTTGGATTTCTGGACAGAAAGTCCTCATCGAGAATCAGGCATTATTGCCTGGATAGATCTCTGGTCTCTTTTATTCTCCCCTTTACTTTTGATCCCCTCCCCCACCCCGTTTTTGTTTGTATTGCTCTTTTATTCCCATGGCGAAAAGATTAGGCTATTGGGCAGGGAGCTGTCATGCCCACATGCTGGTATGTCTGGGGCTACAACCCAGAATTCTCTAACGTGCCTTACAGTTGTCCTCCATATCAGCATACCTCCGTCTTTTTATATGGTCAGGTTACTTGCTTAAGAAAACCAGATTTTTGAAGTTCAGAGACATAGGAAAAGATCTAGTTAGTGGAAATAGCCACACGTTTCCTATTATACAACCTGGTGGGGCACACTGCTCTCAGGTACCACAGGCACCAACAGAAGGGCTGGAGCTGGGCAAGGTACTTTGAACCAGGAGAAACACTAGTAGTAACAAGTGGAAAATTGCTGAGAAATACTAAAGATTTCACCAGAGTTGAAGGAATGACAGATTGGTGTTAGGTTCTCGCACACCCACCATGGCAGTTTCCTGTGGAGTGTGAGGCCTGCCGAGCCCTGTCATTAGGGCCCCCAAAGCTCTTGCATAGCTGCTCTGTGCCAACCTTGAAAAAAACTCCCAGTGCTGGAGGAGGGGGTGATGACCTACCTACCTTCCCTTTCCTTCTTCCCTCTGCTTTGCTTCCCTCCCATCCTGCCCTCTCCTCTTAGCCTTTCTCTTTCTGGCAAATGTCTTCCTCCGTAGCCCAGACTGGAATTAAACTGGAGGTCCTCCCATCTCAGCTTCTCAAGAAGCACCTGGCTGCTTTTTTCTATTGAGTCTTACCTCCCGGAGCTGTATTCAGTGAGTACCAAAATCTGTTTTAGAAAAGTGCTGCAGTGTTTGTGGCTGCTTAATCTAGCCCATCTACCCATAAACTTTTCCTTTGGGATTAATAAATCACCACATTGTCTCTGGAATGTGGAGGGTCTCAGAGAAATAGCTGGGCAGCTGGTTCTTATGTGTAAGGCCAAAAACCATTTCCTTCTCACCATGACTCTGCCGGAGTGCTGATGCTACCACAGGACTTTCCCAAACCTTTCTTTCTCATACACAGAGAATAGCAAGCAATAAATTGTTGATGATAAACACCTCCTAAGGTCCTCATAAGGCAGCAGACTTCATTATTCATTTGTTTATTTGTGTTTTTTATTTTTATTTTGTGTGCTTTGGGTGTTTTGCCTGCATGTATCCATGGGTGAGGGTGTCAGGCCCCCAGAAACTGGAGATACAGACAGCTGTGACTTGTGGGTGCTAGAAATTGAACCCAGGTCCTCTGGAAGATCAGTCAGTGCTCTTAACTGATGAGCCATCTCTCCAGCCCCTGTTTGTTTTGAGACAGGGTCTCACCATGTAGCTCTGGCTGGCCTGGATCTTACTGTGTAGACCAGACTGGCTTCAAATTCACAGAAATCTGCCTGCCTCTGCCTCCAAAGTGCTCAGATGAAAGGCATGTATCACCTTGCTCATCTCATTTGTTTTAGGACTGGTCTCCCTATGTAATCAGAGCTGGACTTAAATTTACTGTATAGCCCCTACTATGTAGCCTATACTGTCCTCAAATGCACCAAGATCCTCTTGCCTCTGTCCCCAGAATGCTGGGATTTCAGGTATGTGCCACCGTGCCTAGCCTAATTATTTTGTACAAAATTGGCAATTAGTATTAATTTTGAGAAAAAGTTAAAGGAGTTGAGAAAAATTAAAAGAATCGACAATTAAAGCAGGAGAAGAGTGGGAGAGGGATCTAGAGCCTTCTTTGTGAGTCTTAGAAGGTAATCGGTAACTAATAGAACTTCAGTTACTACTGGCTACACTTAGCTGTTTGATATATGTTGTGGCTCCATTGGGTATTCTGTCATCACCACAAGCATTATGCCCAGTGTATTCATTAGATAAAGGAGGAAAATCAGGGCCTATTTAATTTATATCACTTGCTGAAGTCAAGAAAATGGTAGATAGAGATGGAGTCAGAGCTTAGTCCCTTTCATTCTGCCAAGAGTTCTCTTGTAAATGTAAGTGCTTCTGTAAGTACCTAATATTATATTTATTTATATTATGTGTATATGTGTGTACTGTTTAATCAGTACCTATGTTGTGTTGTGGAATGTTCTGTTATACTGTGTGAAGATGTGTCACTGTGATTGGTTTAATAAAGAACTGAATGGCTAGGCAGGAAGAGGTTAGCTGTGACTTCTGGGGACAGAGAGGTCTCAGGGAAGAAGAAAGGGGAGTCACCAGCTGGATGCAGAGGAAGGAGGACAGACAGGAGGAGATGTAAAAGCCGAGAGCCATGTGGCAGCATATAGATGAATAGAAATGGGTTAATTTAAGTTATAAGAGCTAGTTAGAAACAAGCTTAAGCTAAGGCCGAGCTTTCATAATTATTAAGTCTCTGTGTCATCATTTGGGAACTGGCTGGCGGGACAGAGAAAGACTTGATAAGGTACAATTTGGAAAAAGTTTCCTGGTGTAACCCAATCCTGTATGCACAAGGAGGCATAATTACATAGAAACTCTTCTCAAAGTACATGTCACTTCTTCCATGAGGTGGGTTCTATAGATAGGCTGCATGTGTTATCTTAAGGATCTAGGGGAGTATCTGGTGTGGCCTTGGTCATATAGATAGCACAGAGGTCACCTGGGCTATTAATCACCTCTGGTCCCAGTTGTGGGAGCTTGGGGGAGCCCCTGGCCATACAGATAGAACAGAGATCACCCAGGCTATTAGCTACCTCCATTCCTAGCTTTCTGGGTAGAAAACAGGTTATACATCTCTCCCACAGAAGACACAATACTGTGTGTTTACCATTTCTGGTTTCCCTAGTGCTTATCTGTGAGTGCAAGGACCTTTGTGCTCCCAACAGTCACACTGGCTGCACAGAGCTGCCTTCCTCTTCCCATGCTCCCTGTAATAGATTGGACGAGGCTCACTTAGCCACTTAACTCCTTCTTCATGAACATGAGTGTTTCTGGATGCTTTATTGTGTTCATTTTGGCTTTTGAAGAGGGATACAGAGAAAGTCCACATAAACACATCTGGATATACTTTTTTTTTCTTTCTCTTTTCATCACTGGGAATCAAACCTATGGCCTTGTGCATGGTAGACAAGTGTTCCACCTCTGAGCTATATATCTGGCCCACATAGATGTGCTTTACAAGCATTAACTCTCATCAGAGAATTGCTCTGCTGAGAGTATTCATTGGCTTTTGCTTCTGTCTTTATTTCAAGACACAGTTTTACCAGTCAGTAGTCCTGACTGGCCTGGAACCTACTAATGTAAAACATACTGACCCAAAACTTCCAGTGATCCTCTTACCTCAGCCTCTAAAATACTGGGATTGCAGGCATCTTGACACCTGTCTGGATAAATGTGTTCACTGTATTATTTATTTACTTTAATTTTGATTTTTTTTTCTGAGACAGGGTTTCCCTGTGTAGCCATGGCTGTCCTGGAACTAGCTCTATAGACCAGCATGGCCTAGAACTCACAGAGTTCTGCCTGCCTCTGCCTCCCAAGTACTGGGATTAAAGGTGTGTACTACCATCACCTGGCTTATTTTTGATTTTTTTTAAAACAAGATTTTAAGTAGCTCAAGTTGAGGAAAACTCCCTGTGTAGCCAAGGATAGCAATATATTCCTGGTTCTCTTGCCTCTACTCCCAAGTGCTGGAATTACAGGCATGAATAGTCATGCCTGACTTGAAAAGGTTCAGTGTAAATGCTGACCATTATTGCCAAATGGCCCACCAGAGAGAGTCCTCCCACTGTTAGCCTGCTGTCTTCTTATCATCCATCCCTGGCTCCCAATAAATACCAGTGTCTCTTCCAAGGAGTCATCACTTAGTGTAGTGGCACAGACCTTCAATCCTAACACTCAGGAAGCAGAGGCAGGCAGGTCTCCTGAGAGATCCAGGCTAACCTGGTATAAATAGCAAGTTGTAGACGAGCCAGGGCTACACACTGTTTCAGAAAGCAAAAAGAACCCACTCCTTCTCTTCCCTTCTTCATCTAGGATACTGTTTTTTTCC